ATCACAGGCTATCTATGGGTCATCCTAGGTGAATGGCAAATTATTTCACTGAATGACTTCTCCAGATGAGTTTGTGACTTGCACAGTGAGGTAGAGCCTGACAGAGAGTGTGAACCTGGACTTGACCCTGATTTCCTGGAGAAGGACCAGCAGCCTCCTTGTTCTAAAGAAATTTTAATTGTTCACCTTCCACACTGTGTGGTCATTTATATCTTTTCTACTGGCCTACTTCCAAGTAAAGGTCCAAGCATCACCCAGCTTCCAACACTTCAACTGCATTTCTCAGGAATATCAGCCACACACTGTCCCAGGTATTTCAGAGCATACAAATTCCCTTTTTCCCACAGACCCGTTGCCTTCCTGGTAGTAGTGGGGAACTTTCATATTAAAACCCCTTAAAAAGCTTAAAATTCCAAAAAACAGAGATTTGACACTTTTCTTCTATTTTTATAGGTCAGATTAAGACCAAAGAATTTTACAGCCCTTGTCTTGAGTGAAGCCATGTCCTGTCTTTGGGGGTGTCTCTGTGTATTCAGGAAGGTAAAAGAGACAATATTGATACCTTGATCTGCTCAAAGCATTAAAGCAAAGATTTCACCAAAATCCCATTTCTCATCAACCAAAATGCTCCTCAGCTCTATGTAAGTTGCTGCAAAATCTAGATGTTTAAAATACCCTTCTCAAGCTATAAAACATTTAAATGTTTAGTTTTCAGGTTTTCAGAAGGAAACACCTACATTTTTCCTTAACAGTTTAAAACACTGTTTTTTTTTTTTTAATTTCAAGCTTAAAATATTAAATTGACAAAATCAATCAAATTAACAAAAATTAAATTCAATTTCCCATTCAGCCCAGAAGGAGCTGACAGCTTTTCAGTTCATACACTTAGATTTTTTTTTGAATGCACTCAAAAGTTCCACACAAATATTTTTTCATGCTGCATGTTTTCAGAATTGCCAGAACATAAAACCAGCCATGGCTGCACCAGTAAGTTCCATGACTGTGAAGGACACATACTCACGTGGGCTCCAACAGCTGTATTCCATCTAATTCTCCTACTGCAGCTTTAGTTTCCTATTGGTTTGGCAACTCTGAAGGTCCAGAATATCTTGTGGCTAACATTAGGCACGAGAAAATAGGTAAAATTTGCTCTGCCTGGAAACAGCAGTGAATTCATGGACATTTTCCATCCCCTGCTGGTCTTCCAGGAATGGTGCCACTCTAGCCCACCTCCTTCTCCTACCTCTGTGTAGGACTCTGTTCCAATGGGACATTTGGGATCTGGAAATGCATAAATGCACCACAGTGGTGCCAAGGAATAAAGCAGGGCTGGTTTCAGGTGAAGGGAAGGAGAATCTTGCCAATGGAAAAGAAACCTGGGAGTGATGAATCAACCAATTTCTCAGAAAGTGAGCACTGGGATGGGATGGGATGGGATGGGATGGGATGGGATGGGATGGGATGGGATGGGATGGGATGGCATGGCATGGCATGGCATGGCATGGCATGGCATGATCTGGTGACAAAGGAGATGTGACTCTTAGAAAAGTCACATGAAACAAAAATGTGTTGCCCAATGCTCCCTGCCATGTCTGGGGATGGCAAAGTCCTCACAGAGGTATCACCAGGAGGAAACTCTGCTGTTGTGTGTGGCCACCTCTTCCCTGAAATCCAGACTCAGAGAATGAAAGAGGAACTAAACAAGATTCTGCAAAACTTGTGCTTTTTTATAAACCTTTCCTAATGCTGCACTCCTTGCATCAAGCTCAGCTGTGGAGCTTTCTTTTGTGACCTACACTCAATATCTATTATCATCATCAACTGGTCCCAAATCAAGAGCTCCTCTGCAATAAATCTGTGACTGTTGGAGCAATGAAAGCCAAATCATGCTCTGTCCAAGAAGCTTAATATCTAAATGCAGGACAAGAGAGAGACAGAGACAAACAAGCAAGAAATAAAAAAGTTCTGAAAGAGAACAACTGTGATAAGCAGGAGTCCCAGCACATCTTGTTCCCTGGCCTTGCCAGCTCCCTTTGTAGGCATCATGGCAGGAGAAAACTTCATTCTCTTGGTCCAAAAAATAACCTATATTTTGAATGTTTTTTTATAAATCTGGTTTGATCAGATATGGGATCTCTGGAATGAGAATAAACATAGGCTATCTCGCCAGACAACTCATTGGGTGGTTATCTTTGAGCTGTTTCTCCCAAACAGTTTTATAATCTACACACACACATATTTAATTGTATGCTTTACAGGAAATGCTGTGCCTTAGCCTCATCATGAAAATTACCCATTTTCTGGATAATTGAGATATTTTAATTTAAAAAAAATATTTTATTACTTGTAATGAACATGATCTTTTAGCAGTTTCTGGCTTGTGAGGTTACAGGGATCAGGGCTGTGCTGCACCTCCTGTGTTAGGAAGCAAAGATCTTATATGAAAATAGCTTGAATTAAGGAAGTCAGCAAAGAACCATAAATGACACCATCAAAAATTATTTCTAAGATAACCCAGCCCAAACTAAAGTTGGTGGAAATACTCCAAGTAACATCAACAGAGGCAAGTCCTAAGTATAGCCCAGACAATTTTATAAAATAGAAGTGTTGGCACTTTGTATTTACACAGAATTTTTAAATTCTTTGAGATATTCATACGCAAGGTCCAGTGAAAGGGAAGGCTCTGTCTCTACCTGAATCACCCCTAGAACTCAATGTGACTTGCTCTGTTCCCACACACAGGAAGCACACATAGTCCAGCCACAGAGGAAGAGGTAAATTTAATCTATTCATTGCCTTTCTCATCCAAGTAAAGAGTGGAATTACAGGGGAGGAAATGAGGCAAGCCTCAGCTCGGCGTGCTGGCAGGAGCAACCCAGGCTGTGTGGGGTGGGAGACGGGAAGGCAAAAAGGCCTCCTGAGGTTAAACAGCCACCAGCAAATTGCTGGCCTCCCTCAAACTGGAGGGAGCAGCAAGGAGAGGGATTTGATGGGATACTGAAATTCCTGCCCAAATTAGCAAAAGGATGATGAAGTAGATGTTACCCACTGCAAAACCTGGACAAAATCTGGGCACAACATGGAACATTCTCAGGCACAGGGGAGGATTTCTGGGCTGTCCTGTGCAGGGCCAGGAGCTGGATATTGATGATCCCTGTGTGTCCCTCCCAACTCAGGGTATTTTATGATTCTATGAGTTATGATAACCTAGTGCAGAGAAATCCAAAGACATCTCAAGCTTTTTAATTTAGGTCTGCAGGTAGATACAGATCTGTGAACCTCCACCTGCCACTGCAGTGAGCAAAGGCTGTTTTCAAAAAGGACAGTGGTTCTCACCCACAATGGAGCTTCTAGCACCAAAACCATTATTTGGGTTTTCAGTTTAATTCTCTATAATCTATAGCTCAAGACATTAAACCATTTCCCTCCATGTAGCTTGTCCAAATCAGTGAAAAAAATTCACTGCTGAAAAGCAGTGTATTACCATCAAACAATAAGAGTTTGGGGGCTAAAATAACCTTCCAGTAGCACTGATGAGGCCTCAATTAGGCAAAATTTAGCTGTACCACCAGCATTGCCCAAAGCAGGATGGAAAAGGACTGTCTGACCACTGCTTCCCTGGGGACCTCCAGGGAAATGTATCTCATGAGCTTCTCAATCAGCAGAAAAATTGGAAGAAAAACAAATAAAACAGTTGGTGGTCTCAACTGTGTTTCTTGTGGGCAGTCACCCATGTTGCAAAAGCTTTCCTTGTGATGGGCACTAATTGCTCTCCCTTGTGAGGGATCTCAGTCAAGAAGTCAGAAGGGAAATTAGAATAGAGTAAAGGTCAGGGTGACAAAAGCATTTAGGAGCCTTGCTCCAAATAAGGAGCCAATGGGAATGCTGGTCCCTTTGTAGGAAAAGCCACCTGGACTCACCTGAGCCACACTTAATCAAATGCAGGCAATCAATAAGTTGCTGTTTCAGAGTTTTTCTACAAAATAGGAGGAAAGGAATCTCCCAAATCAGATCAGAGTTTCTGTAGGACACACAGCTTCTCTGAAGGCGCCCATTTCAAATGTCAATAGAAAGAAAGATCAGTGCTAAAACCTCAGAAAACTGCCCAATCTGAGGTGCCCTGTGTATCTACAGCACTCTGCAGACCTGGTTGTAGGATCTCTCTCACCTCATCCTATTTCCTAAAATACAAGTGTCTAATTTATGGTCTTCCTCATGCTCTCTGTTGGGAAACACTTCTCCACTGACCCAGATGGACCCTTCACCAAAATTTGAGGCTTGGAGCATCCTCAAGCAGAGCTTCCTCTTTTCTCTGCTCTGCATGGTCTGTGAATGAACCTCAGAGCTGTTGCCAGGGTGGAGAGGAAGATCTTGAGTTTTGGATTTGAGGTTTTGATTGAATCATTAGTGAGTTATCACAGTTATCAGAAGCTGCCAGGCTGAGAGAGGGACACGCCCTCTCTGCCGTGAAATCGATGGAGAAGTGAACAAAGTGTGAAAAAGCAGTTGTGAAACTGCACATTTCCAAAGAAACCAGATGAAACAGGCAGGCAGTGATTCTCAAACACAAATGTTAGTTCTCTAATCAGAAAGCAAGTCACTGAGTGTTTCTCATGAACAATATATATTTGTGGTTATACAATCTGGAAAGGCACAGTTCCTGATATGAATACAATACTGTCATTGTTAGTAAGCTCAGTACATACATGTGGGTTTTTTCAGTTAAAAATATGTTTTTAATTGCATATCTAATCTTATTTTCAATAATTACGATACAAGCTTGTTTATAGAATTGAGATTTCTGGAAAAAAATTGTAGGAAATACAATCTCTTCATGTTTATCCACACGTATCTAAGAACAGATCCTGGATATTCTTCTTATTACAGAGGTACTCTCAAAACCCTAATTTTAAGGAGTTCCCAATCACAACCTTGAACTTGAGGGATCATGGGGAGCTGTCAGAAGGTTCTCATGAAGGACACTGTGAAATGGTACATACCTGCTGGCAAGAAAGTGACACTGGTGTGATGTGGAGTCATGGTCCTAGGTTTTATTCTTCTGTGTGTGTTTACTGCAGGAATAATGTAGAGTGACAAATCTTCAGGCAAGAAAATTTACAGCTGGGCTGTGTCACACAGTGTCAGAGGATGCATTCTGAAGGCTATGATGAAACAAAACAGAATAAAATTAAATATTAACAGTCAGATTAGATATGACAAAATGGAAACATGGAATTTTATTGAAATAAGTTTAATATTTCTAAGAAGGTATCTGGTTGGTATCTGGTGGGAATGATTTTCTAATGTGATATTTCAGAGCTCAGAAATGCCAAATTTTTAAAAAGTCACCGATGGTGGTGTTTCAGTGGAAAATGTTGACATTTTTTCACTTGAACATCACTGATTCTTGGGGAATATTTCATTCTACAAAAGCTTTCCAAGACACAGCCAACTGTACATACATACTCTCAAAAGGAGAGTGGAAGGCTAAGGGGGACATTCCTAGGAGAGCAAATGGAGTTTAGGATAACAGGAGTGGGAAGGTGAGGGTGTGCAGTCACTGCTCTGATCTGAAATGTAATGTCCAACCCCGTCTCCCTTTCAGCTCCAGCTCAGAGCGAGTGTCAGATCCCAAATGTAAACTTTCCCATCTGTGTTATTCTATTAACTGAAAGGGAAAGGGATTAGCATGTGTACTTGTCACATCTTTTGACCTGTTGCATACTGAGACCCAAGGTAATGTTAAAGCAAACAGCATTCTTCTCCCTCTGCCAGGATAAGCAGGGCACGGGGGTGGCGTTTCGGGAGGAGACAAGAAAGCCAGACCACGTAAAACAAAGTATGTACCCTGTGCAAAAATAAACCCTGGACGTTGAAGATTTCCAAAGGGTATACCTTAAACAGGGTGAGAGAGAGAGAGAGAAAACATTTGAGAGGAAAGTTCCCTTCCCTGCCAAGCAGCAGATGGAGGGCCTTCCCACGGAAATAGCTGCAGAAGACAGATCACTGACAGGAACCTCTGCCAAGAGAAGGGGTCCCGCTCACTGTGCTGGTAAAATCTCAGCGCACATTAACAGGATCCTCTGATTTAAACTCCTTCTCCAGAGAAAGGGGGTTGGATTGTGTCACAGAGCTCTGTAACAGTGTGGCCCACCCCAAAAAGGAGGCAGGTTTGGAAGGATTACATAGTTTGGGGTTTCATTCCTTCTTTTCATTCAGATCCTGGTTTTGCCCTCGCTGTGAGTTTATAGAGCACATGTGCACACACACAGACATGCCTAATGGCAACAATAATCTGCTTTGCCTCTCCCTTCCTCTGCTTTTTATTTCCACAAGGCCTTTGCAGTGATTGGGACAAGATGAAGTGTTGGATGCTGACACTGATAGAGAATCCATTTGGGGATAGAGGGTTTAATGAAGCTGGGCACCAAAAATCTCTTTTTCAAACGTTTCAGTTAACTTGGCACTAAATTATTCATAGAAGAAGAAATTGAGGGCTTTCTGCTCCTTCTGTTTTTTTTTTTTTCTGGGTGTTTCTGATTCCTTTGTAAAAGTCCATAGGAGTGCATGCACTTTGTGAAAGAAGAAAACAAACTCAGCATCTCCAGGACAAACCAGTCAGTTCAGCAGTGAGAAAAAAGGCCATTAACTGTATTGCTATCACAGAGAGCCAAAGGAATGGGACAGGATGACCTGGGCACAGCGTGTTAGGAGAGAAGCTCTTCCAAGCAGGCCTAGCAGGTACTCCCTGATATTCCCAACATTTGAACCAGAGCCATTTTATTACTGTTATGGCCAAGGCTTGAGCATCTGATGTCAACAGAGTAGACAATTAATGCAAAAAATTAGCCACAACTGAGGCCCAGTTCCACTTTTGGATGGTTTTCTTTGCTTACCCTGCAAGAACAACATCAACAAATTAAATTGAGTCCAGCAGTAGACTCTCAAGATAGCAAAATACATGAGGAAAGGATGAGGGAGGTGAATTTGTTCAGCCTGAAAAATCCAAAAGTTAAAGAAGGGACTTTAACTGGTGCCTGCTTCTACTGATAGATGGCTACACAGGAGATTGAGTCCAGCTTTTCTCAGACACTGTGAAAGGATGAAAGGCAATGATAACCAGTTGCAAAAAGACAAATTCCTACTTCATTAAAAAATAAATTGAAAGGAGGACAGTTAAGTTTTGGAACAGGTTGCACAAAAAGATGGTAAAACACCTAACCTTGCAGATTTTTAAAACTTGACAGAACATGGCCCTGAGAAACCTTAGCTACCTTTGAAGCTGGCCCTCTTTTAAGCAGGGGCAAGTTGATCTACAAATGCCAGTTTCAATCTGAACTAGCCCATGATTCTGAGAGTACCAATTATAATTTCTGCATTGATATATACAATCACTTTCTGAAATCCCCAACTCTTACCTCAACCCTAATGTCCTCCTCTAAATGAAAACTTTTTCTTTCACTCCTACAAACCAGAAAAGCTTTGCTGGAAATAGAGTCTGCACCACCTGCCCTTTGTGCCTTCATGGCAAGGTTTTTAAATTCTCTGTGAGCATCATCATCATCATCATCATCATCACCATCTATGACAAAAAGATCTCCAGAAGAGTGCAGCAATATTGGAAAAAAATTCCCCTGAAACACAGTGCATTTGTGCTCACTGGCAGAGCCATACTGGTAGGAGTCTGGAGAGAAAACCACTAAGGGTGACACACAACTTTCCTGCAGTGACAATAAGGGGTGTAAAAATAAATGAATCAGGGAGAGACAAAGAGGAATATTCTGATTTTCCCTTGGTCATTTTAACAGGAAATATTTCCCTGTATTTTTCCAAATATTAGGCAAAGCAGGGTTTGTAGAGAAACTCAAGGGAGAGCTGTAGAGAAAACTCAAGGGAGATGGAGAATGGAGTGTGGGGAGCACCACTGAGCTTGTCCTGTGTTGTGGGGCACCAGATGAGACCCCAGACTCTGCTGCTGGGACTCCTGAGAATGGCTCATGGTGTTCCCAGAGCAGGTATCAGCCCCTCTCTGAACAGACTTCTGAACCACAGTCTGTGGCAGCTGTGATAATAACTACAACCATTTCAGTGCTGTGATTGGAAATGTTTTCAGAGTGTAGTTTTTGTCTAAATAAAGAAGGCATTTTCTGGAGGTCAGGTGGCCTGGGTCATTGTTTTGCTGCAAGATAAAAAGAGATAAGAGTCCTCCCACTTCACCAGAGTTAGTCTTATCCCTTCTCATGACTGGAAGGACCCAGGCTGAGAATACATGGCAGTGTTATCCCAAATTTCCTCATACAACAACATAACCTCCTCCTTTTCTTCTCAGTTCCTGAATCATCTTTATGGACTTGTCTCAGAGCAGTTCATAAACTAATCCTTCCTCAGGCTAAGGCTCCCCATGCTGTGCAAGCACAGGATGCAACCTTGACACCACTTCCATGGTGCCATCCTTCCAGAAGAGATGCACACAGTGGTATTTGTACAAATTTACAGCCTGGTGCCTCTAAAATGACATTTTCTAAGTTCACTGTAAATGCTGAGGGAATAATTCCAGAGTCTTGACATATATCTGTGCCGAAGTTTGTGGATTTATTAATATCTGATATTAGATATTAAGAGATCAAATTACCCAAAGTCAAAAAAGAAGGTGTCTAGGTTCTAGGTTTGATATTCACACAAACAGACTGAAGTAATAACCTTTTTTATAGCTGTGTCTAATAATGTGCATATAAATATGCATGCACATAAATACAGAAACACCCACATGTTTTTGTACTGCACACTCCAGATAAAGAGGAGCACGGGGAAGCACATCAGGGCCCTGTTTCTCATCACAAATTTCCAGTCTCCTGAAACAGACAGACAATACATGTTTTCTCTAGGATTATTCAATCTGTGCACCAAGTCAGTGGCTTTAAAAAGACCCCCAAACTTTCAACTAGGACTGCTCAGCAGATTTCCACTCTAGTTCTAGACTTCTGGGTCCTAGAAAAATGGCCTGCATAATGCATTTTAAGTTTTAATTAAATTTTCTTGATTTTTTTTTTTATTCTGTCTGAAGAGAATATTAGTTCAAGTATTTGTAGCCCATTTGGTGGTGTTCTGACAGCAGAATGCCAACATTCCCACCCCAGGTGCTGAAAGGCAGAAGGATGCACACACCTGTACACACAGACAAACCCTGCCATGTTCTGGGTGCAAGACACATCTGATGATTTCTCCTTGTTTAGTAGCACCAAAGTAAAAGGAAAACATGGTATGGGACATTTTAATGCCTTAAGGCTTTCTATTTACTTGTTTAAAAATAATGTTTCTGTTTTATAAATCAGGATTGTTCAATATCTACTTTTTCATTGTCTGTTTAATTTAACCATAATCTATGTCTTCAAATTCTCAATTTCTAACAATTCTTATCATCTGCTTTATGTCAGAGCTGGTGGGGTCTGAGGTTTGTACAGGGTGGTGACATTTCTGATAAGAATACCTTCAATTTTTTATTCTTTAGAACAGGTGCAAAAAAGGATCATCAAAGCATTTTTCAAAGTTGTTGCAAAGATAGAGAATTTTCTTTACAGGGTGGAATTTAGACAAAGTCTCTCTCCAAAATAATAAGTGATGGTGAATAGCACTGGTCACATGGCTTAGAAAAAGTAAGGTTTTTTTTACCTAAACTGTGAAGGCCAGAAAACTGAAAATCTTCCACTAGCTTAATTGGAGTTGGGGTTTTACACTGAGTGTTCTAAGAGCAAAATATCCTCTGATTACCTAAGTGGGAGTAGTATTTGGTTGGCATTCGATCTTCCCTAATGTCACTCATCACCCCCAGCCTTTGGGTATCTCTAAACTCAGTGATTTTACTGTTTTTATCCTGTTCTGTTACTCTTCTCCCTGCAATCAGTGCTGTCCACACACTTGGTATAAATGGTAAATAAAAAGCAGCTGTACAAGTGAAAAATAATTTCAGATTTGTCTGTCTACCTTATGTGGATATGGATGTGAATAACACAAATTAAAGTAGAGTTCATTCAGAATCAGTTTTGAACCATGGTACATTATGGTCTAGAAGCAAATTACTATCATTTTGCGTATTCCTTGCCACTAACAAAGTCTTCACCAACACAAAGTCCACAGAGAAGTCTCTAAAAGGAAAAAAAATCAA